ACACACACACACACACACACACACACACACACACATACTGGGAGAAAGATGGAGAGGCTATAAATACACAGAGTAATGAGAGTGTGGTGTCACTGTCATCCTCATGCTCTGTCGCCTGTGGCCACACCACCTCTTTCTCCTGGCTGTCGCATTTCGGTATGCACACAAATCAAACCCAAACCCAAACAAATCGGGTGAGACACGATGGATTATAAGATCAGGTACCTCCACCCATGCATTAGCTACTATAGCTTGTCTGTTATATCCCAATTAATCAAGTTATGATATTAATCTGGTTGAAAACTCAATAGTAATATTTGAAAATGATAAATGCACACTCTGTGATTCAACTTTGCTATGTGTATTTTGGTTTTTAATTAAGCTCCAGGAAAAATTTTTGTCCCACTATTGTTGGCCTAGCATATGAGTGGAAATGTGAGTCCGCTCAGCATTATGATGCAAAATAAAATAAGTATCTGAGGGGTGATGCATACAAACTACTACTTCTATATAGTATATTTGGTTTGCCACAGTTTCCTAATGACAGGAAAAATCTCTTTGTGTTTTGCACAATCATCTTAACAGGAGAAATCCTGCCCACTGAATGCTGATTTTGTCTCTGCACAAGTCACTGATGATGAATAACCTAATTTTATTCAAATTGCCATGGGTATCAATGATTATCAGAGGAACAATTATCAAATTGTTTTAGTTTTGGATGACTTCAAAAGACTATTTCTGCATAGTCACCACCCTGTGGACACATTTCCCAGTTTTGCACTCAGCACTTTAAAAGTGTAAACTTAACAAGGTTTTTCATTTATTTAGCTTAATGCTTTTTGTGACCAGGGTTGTAATGAAGACCTTCTCCTCTAGAAGCTGCTTACTAATGTTTTGTTGGAACAGTTGGAATTATGCGGTTACTTGATGACACAAACACTTGCTGCTGTTTGCTCATTTGGTGATTGGAAATCTAACCCACATGGTCAATAGGAGTGCAGCCGGCTCAAATGAATACCTTTACTCAGAGGGCACCGACTCACTTTCACTGAACGACTGCATGTGCAGCTGAATCCCTCTCTGAAAATTAAACTGGTGCGTTTCATTTAGTGATCATAATGTCAGTCTTTTCATGTTTGTGCATGCACACATACTAATGAAGGAAAAACAAGAACTATTTTCTATCCCAATTTCTTGTTTTTTTTTCTCAGTCAAACTGTAAATGTAGCACAATTTTATCATCGTTGAGCATACTTTGGTGACAGAAATTGCATATATCCAACAATATTAAGTTATTCCAACGCTGTAACTAACACCTCTGTCGGGGGTTTATTCTAGGAATCTGGTAGCGTTGTCTACCAATCAGTTTGAGATGAACAAGATTTGACAAAGCACACACACACTCAAGGGGAAAATAAATCTCTTGTTGTGTCCCCAGAGGGCTCTTTGAATCCCTCTGTCCTCCTGCCAGCTCACTTCATGCCTCGCTCTGTTCTCATTGATGTGAAAATTGTTCTACAGATATGGGAATATCAATGTGTGTGTATATGCGTGTGCTTGCTCCACACACCTGCTCAATTGTGTGTGTGCATGTGTGTGTCTTATGTCTGATGCTTGTGGGGTTTTATTCATTTATTTTATTTTAATGCTTGATCCTTCCTGGTCGGTTGAACCTCCTGTCTGAACTACATCTGAGCCCCGGTGCAGCCTGGACACATCACCTACATGAAAGGAACAGGGGCTTTTTTATGTATACAGAACATTTGAATTGTATGAGCTTCATATTGTGCTGTGATTTGGCTTTGGAAGGCTAATTAAATACTGAGCTAAATACATGTTTGTTTGCATGCGTGTGCGTGATAGACAAACAAATGGAAAAGGAGAAACACATGTCTGAGGTGTGATTTCTATTGTTGTTGGTTTTCAGGGAGGCAGTTTATTTGACACCTGTTGATCGAAGAGACTATCGACGTACTTCATATACGATACTGCTAATTATATTCATTCATCTGAAGTCTTGGAAATGTATGCCACCAAATATTTGTAGAGCTTCCCTTGCCCCCAGTCCTCCCTGTTTTATCACTGTTTTATAATGTGATGAGTGCAGCCTTGCTTGATGAAGATGTCTATGGAAATCATCATTCACACAAAAGACAGATTAAGCCCCCAGAGAAAGACGTGGGTGGATGTGTGGGACTACTGTATCAGTTCTCTGCTACCAGTCTCATCCTGCGTGGCCTTGTTTTTTCCTGTGGAGCATCAAAGGTTTACCATAACCCAACCAAGGGATCCAAGGGGATAAAAATAAGAGTCTGAAATCACTTTACAGTCCTGAGTGGCCCCTCGCTCGCCACAGACCAAAACCTGCGTATCCATGACAACGCTAAGATGGGATCCACTCTCAGCCATTGACTCCTCTCAGTCAGTGCTGAGTGCTGAGGGAGGAAGTGGCGATAAGGAGAGATTCAATTCAATTTGCTCTGAACGGCTGCTTGCCCCTCATGTAAATAGTATAAGTAGGTTACTGCCACACAGGAGTGCACATAGAGGCGTAAGGGAGGTTGAGCGTTATGTTGTCATGGTTAAGTTCCCTTTTGGCCGCAGGAGATGTGATGATAACTCTTGTGCCGGGGTGCTCTCTCGTCTTTTTATTTTTTTTATTTTCTGTCATTTCAAGTGCTTTTCACCCTTGAAGAATGTTGAGGAAGAAATTGCATCCTTCTTCGAGTCACCTCGATTTGACAATGGAAAACCAGTTCTATCTGCATGCTTTTCATAGCATACAGTTGACTCAAAATCTCAGGGACCACTGTGTTTGGTTATATAGCCTAGTGTTAATATGAACACGACACATACAGTTTAGACACTAGAGGCTAAAAACCAGCCCACAAGACTGAGTAGAGCCCACACATGCAGCACGACTCCTGAACACCTGTCTGTATAGTGGAGGCTGTGGGCTCAGTTTGACCCACATCTGTTTAAATCAATATCCACTTCCACCTGTGTCCTGTTAGTCAGACAAAGAACAACCAGTATATACTTTTCTTCTGCTGACCGACACTTTCTCCAAAAATGTGATGCATTTTTGGTCTGAGAAATATATTATTAAGTTAATATCTTAAAAGCATGCCTTTTTTATTCTTCTGTCATCTTAATGTGAGGATATGTTAAAGTGTCATGAGGGTTTATTTAGGTAACGTTAAGTGACCAGTGTTATAGCAGCTCCACAGAGATTGTCAGAATAAGCTCCGCAAACCGGCAAGAAAGTCCCGAGGCAGAGCTTGTGGAATGGAGCTGTAAATAAAAATAGGTAGCTGAATTTTCTTTTTCGACATTGGGAGAGTAAGAGATTTTTCTGACCTCTGTGTTTGGTTTGTCCAAAGTCCTGCCAACACCAAAACAATCTTCTCCATACTCCCCTGCTCTCCATCGACTTTAATCCAAGGATCAAGCTACGTCCCCTGGGTTTGGAGTGTCAGATGATCCTCTTCTGTGTTCACTCAGCCAAGCTGGCTTTGGGTAAACATGGCTTTCACTGTACTTAGTGGAGTTGCTAAAAAGAATAAATAAAACGTCTTCTCCCACAAATATTTAGTCTTTTCTTATATAACAGTAGCAATTTTTTCAAAAAGCTGTGAAATCGTACTTGCAGAATAAATATCTGCTGGTGTGTCACCATCAATGTTTTTTGGATTTAATATCCAAAAGAAGCGGCTTCTGTTGTCATTAAAATAACATTTGAGTATTTTCTTTTTATTATCAGGAATTGCCTTTAAAATGTTTCAGCTGACCTGTTCCATTCCAAAGCTGTGTAGGCAGAGGTTTATTTCGCATAATCACATCACTGCACAGTTTTCTTATCTGAACTTGTACCTCAGGGGTCGTGAGACGTTTTATAGGAGAGGGCGCAGAGTTCTTAACTCTTGTCTCTCTGTGTAGGTGGAGGAGGTGGTCGATGTTGGGACCTTTGCTGAAGAGGACATCCACATACCCAGCATCTATGTGCACAGAGTTGTCCAGGGAGCCAGCTACGAGAAGAGGATCGAGGTGAGAAGAAAAAGGAAATAAATGAAATATAAAGCTTTTCAGGACTCTTGCATGAGTGGGGAGATTAAACATAAAAGCCTTTAAACAGTATGTTGTATGCATTCTTTTTATAGTTTCAGGATTATGTTGCTATGGCTTTGAAAGTCATGTTCCATTAACCAATCAGTATAGTTACAGAAGGTGTGTGATTAATCCTCTAATAATTATAAGTAGAGTCAAACCCCATTCTGACTTAGTGATGGCAGGCTGTGACATTTCCACCAGTGTTCAAGAACACACATTCATTTTTATTCATATGTGTCTTTGTGCCCAAACTGAAATAGCCTCAAGATACTGTCTCTTCTTTATTCTCTCATTTATTTCATTTATGTCTCCAGAAACGCACAGTAAAGAAAAGTCAGGAACAGAAGCCAAAACCGAAGAAGGACTCGGATATTGTTCGGGAGAGGATCATTCGCCGAGCTGCTCTGGAGTTTGAAGATGGGATGTATGGTATCCTTTGGAAAGAATATAAGCCCTAAATTTGTGCTCTACATGCTGCCCCTTTAATTAATAACCTGTAGTGAAACCAAAGCAGGTGCTGGTCTATAGCCACAGATGCGAGAAACATGCTTGGCTTCATTTTTCTTTTACAGCGTAATGAGTAATTGTTGCCTTTGCACCAGTTGATTGCATTAGCTATCATGTATTATAGTTATGTAGATTAAGTATTTTCCATTGCACATTTACATTTTATCGTGAAAGCATTTTCCCTCATTATGAGAGCAGACACAGATTTTAAGTGGCTGATCTTTGATTAACCACTTGGTCATTTGTGGATTTCTACAAATCATACTCCTTTGTTCTTCAATGTGGCATTATTTGTTTCCTGGAAATATTAGGGACATTAAAGTTAGGTGGGTTTGTGTTTTGAAATGGATGGACGCCTTTGTGTTTTCTTATTAACTGTTTTTTTGGTTGTTCTTTGATTTGCACTTCACAGCCACTGTAGTAATGGCTGTGAGGTGGTCAGAGAGAAGGCTTAGCAGTGTATATGCATGATTTTCACTGTATAATTACAAATGGAATAGTTGCTGTCTTTAACAAAGAGCTAATCAGCTAACCTTGGTATTGGTATCCCCATGTTGGCCAGCAACTTTATAAAACCAGACATCACTGTGCACCTTCAAAGTGAAAATGGGATTTTGGGACTGGTAAGGAACAAACAGAGAGTTTTCTTCCCCCTCATGTTTCAGTGCTTTGAATCCAAGCTAAACATATTGCCTGTAAGTTTGTTATGTAACAGATAACAGACTATTTTTCTTTCTCACAATCATTATTTGCTGGCTGAGCTTCTACAAAGCCTGCTGCTGCTATGGAAAGACTTTCCAATCAGTTGTGTTGACAGTGGAAACACCGAAGCTAATGCATAATTTGTCCACGTTTATTTTAATCGTGTGTGCCAGCAATAGAGAGGTACTGCCCGATCCCCTCCTCCTCTCTTCTCCTCTCCTCGCTTCTCCTCTCCTCTCCAAAAGGATTGCTCCCTTTGTTGGACACAGAGAAAATCAATGTCTCATCTAATCAGAGAAATGTGATTGTGTCTGTCTCTCCCTCGAAAGATCATAGCAGGTCAGGCTGAGTGACGTGTGAGTGTGTGGCCGCTGTACACATTCACGCTGATCTTCGTTTCTCTCTTGTTTAGGGGCCGTACCCCACTGAGGATGCAGTGGATCCAGATCTGATCAATGCTGGTGAGGGTTATCATACTCACTACCTCCCAGTGATTAATGCATCTATACATAGAAAACAAAAGCTATGGAAACCTTGGTCTAACTAAATTATTGATGGACGAAGAGACACACACAGATGATAATATAATGAACCTTTCATATTTTATTCAGATTGACATTTGACACTCCTCCTTTTCCATCTGTTTGTTAATTTGCATTTCTTAAATTGCTTTTGTATTTGAATTGACCCTCATTTTGATTGTTTATGTGTAAACTGAATTTTTGTGTTTAGTTTACTGCTGTGATTGATTAACCTAAATATTCCATTTCTCAAACATGTAATCTTTGTGTTCTGTAGGAAAGGAGACTGTCACGGTGCTTCCTGGGGCTGCCTATTTCTCCAGTGATGAGTCATTTGCCATGATCCGAGGGTAAGGCCACGAAACAAAAGCTCTGAAAACTTGCTGACTAAAAGTTACATATAACTGACATTTCCATGGATTTACATCAAGACAGTAATACTTGGTGAGTCTTGGTGCAGTTCATATACTAAACTGTTAACACAATGAATTTTCTTAGCAAGTTTTTTTCCCCCCTTTTATTCAATAGTGTGTCACATCCATCTTAAGGCAGCTGTTATCTGTAAGCAGGATTTGACCACAGGACATGGCCCCAACATTTGTGACATGGAATATTATTAATAGCTACTGTCACCAGTACAACCAGACGGCTGCCTGGTCAATATTCCCAAGGTTCTTATTGATTTGCTGACTGTCTGAGATTGCCCACCCGCACTCCCTGCAGCAGTAGTTCTGTTTGTCGGCCCAGAGGAAATCCAATACTGCTCATAAATAGTGTTGCTTTTGTCACCATGGCGACAAAATTTGCACTCCCTACTGGTCCTAGTTAAAGTTAGGGGTAAGATGTGAGTTGTGGTAAGGTTAAGGTTAGAATAGGTCATGGTTAAGGTTTCTTGATAAGTTTTTGGTAAGGGTGTCTACAATGAATGGAAGCATGAATGAGCATCAGAAGTCGAACAAATAAACTCTAGAACAGTATATTTACCTGGTGCCATCATGAATAATATTTGTTGACATAATTATTCATATAATGTGTCTTTCATCATATTTAAAAAATTTTTTTTGTATAATTTGCACTGTTTTTTCAGAAGTCGCAATTTCATTGTACTGCATTTTGTACAATGGCAGTAAAAACTTTCTATTTAAAATGTAGTAATACCACATACATATATTTTGATGAATAGACTTGTAAGTCGTAAGCTGAACTGATTCTGAAGTTAACAGGTGTCTTTCTCTGTCATGTCACTCTCTTCAGGGGCCACATCAACCTGACGATGCTGGGAGCCATGCAGGTGTCAAAACATGGAGACCTGGCCAACTGGATGATCCCGGTATGTTTTAAAAAAAAAAAAAAAAAAAATGTATGAAATACTGTCACCCAGATTCATGCTTTCTGCTCCATCTGCTGCTTTTTGCAACATGTCGTCTTTTCAGTTTGTGGCAGAAAGGTGTTCAAATTGTGTTGGATTCTAATTATATTTGACTGGTACACATGTTGTGTCCTTTTATGGAAGTAGTTTTGTAAAAAGAAAAGAAAAACTCTTCCAGGAATGTCTAATGCTTGATATTCTTCATTCAGGTTTTAATATCAGTTGAAACATTACCACCCAGGATTAATGCTTCAACTGACAGTTACCAACAGTTATTATTATTTTGTCTTTAAGATAAAGTGATTGAGCATTTAACAGTTTGTCACAGCTTAAAGGTATATTCAGTTCGTCATCAGCATAAAAAAAGTTTTAGTCGATAGATTAATTGTTCAGTTGCTTCAGCTTTACTCTGAATACCTGGAAATGTTTTGTAATGACTTAATCCTAATTAATGCATCTTTTAAATGTTCCTTACAATCCGTGGTCAAAATTTCAAGAATAAATAAAAAAAATGTTATTTCTTTTGTTATTTTAGGCATGGTGGCCTTCAGCATTTCTCAGAGGAGGAAATGTCTCAGTAGAAACTCATTCTTACAGGTGCGGCCTTGGTTGTTGTTATTCAAGAGCACAAGGATATGCTTGTTGTCAGGGGATTAATGAGTAGGGGGTTGTATGTGAGTGCAACTGTATAATGGGTGGCCCACATTATTGCTAGATGTTTCATCAGGTCAATTGGTCTTGAGACCACAGTGGCCACAGTCGTCCTCAGTGATTACTAAGGTCAAGAACCCATTAAAAGGCTGTTCACGATGTGGGAGGGCTCAGCCAGAGGGCCCCCTCCCGCTCACAGCTGCTTTCCACTCGACTGAAGTCCACATGCGAGGCTGTTTGAGCCAAGTGAACTCAGCCACAGTGTGCTGAAGAAGTTTAATAAAACACAATATATATATAAAAGACAGATGCATGGCAACTTTGTGCACTGATGTTGACATGATCTCTCAATTTATTTTCTTTGTACATTTCCAGTTGCACTTGTTTGTCCATGATAATCTGTTATCAACCGCTGCTTTATTAAGCATGTTCCGCAGATATTGAAGGCCTGCAGTGCTGCTGTCGTTCAGAGACAGGGGCATTTATGTTGTTTGTCCATTCTAGTGTTGGACAGTTTGATAAACAGAATAATGCAGCAACACAGGCGCACACAGCTCCATCCTCACCTACGCTTCATTCTTCATAATCCCCTCTTTTGAAAGGATGGATGAAGAGAATTACATTTCCCACCTTCTGTGATAATGAAAATTATTCTATATATAAAGATGGGTGCATAGCGTGAAATTGGAAATGTTTTACGTAGGAGTCCAGAATGCAGTCCTCTCAGCATGATTATGTTGATTTTGAACAGTTTTAATATGCACAATCCCGATGAACATTTCCAGTTGAGGGCCTTGAAATGTTTTTACATCATCACTCAGCCTGAAACATCTGGCAAAAATAAACAATAGATGGGGAAACGGGGTAATGGTATTGAGGCATTTTAGATTTTATGTGATATTTAACCATTTAGCCGTTGGGGCTATGGTGGGGGGGTTAGGCAGATAGGCATGTTTTAGCCCCATCACTGCAGGTAAAGGCATTTTTTGAATTTCCAGGGAGAGACACTTCAACCAACTTAAAATCATAAACAGATTAACCTGGAGATGGTAACCAGTTTCTCATCAGTTAAATATGGGTACATGTAGTAGCACAAACATCTCACTCTGTGCATTTGCATATATGCAAATGTGTGCAAGCTGCATTGGCCGTGTGAGCAATTAACCTTTACTCATTATTGCACCATATTGCAAGCTTCTGCTATTCACAATTAAAGTGCCACTGGTGACAGTTGGGGAAAGAAAACCATGTTTGTGTTAGATTACACTGTATTCTCCAGTTGTACACTACGCAGTTGTGTTTTACATGTACTTTCAACATGTTTGTCCATTGTCTCCCTGTCAGTCCTGTCTCACCCTCTTGATTCTTGTCATTAGTTGTCAGGGTAATGAAGGATCGTGGCAGTGCGTCGCTATGTTATTAACAGAGAGCCATTTGTATCAGACAGTGGAGATTGTCAGAGAATCTGAGGGGGAGACAGAGGAAGCCAGTTGGTAAGTGGGAACTCTTAGATTGTGAAGGGGGTCATTTTCTGTGGTGTTTCTGCTGCCGACAGGAAAGTGAACACTTGCACAACAAATGAGGGATTGGAATTCTGTTGCCATGGCAACGCAAAAAAAAAAAATGCACGCAACTCCCTAAGCCTATTGCCACAGTGGCATATTTTGGAGCACTGATCCCACTGTATGTCATGGAAACAATTAGCTTCTGAATCGATCACTTTGACTGGACGGGGTTTTTTTTTTTCTTAATGTTCCTTAACGAGGGCATACACGCTTGCTTGCAGAGGTTGCTTTGAAAAAAAAAACCCTGCCTGTCTTTGAATTGCTACACCTCTCAGCCCATTATCCTGCACATATAGAGAACAGCAGTTTTGTAAGTACAGAATAATAAACCACAGGAAAAATGTTTGTTGTGTGCCAGTGGTGGCTCTCTGAGGAAGAACTTGTTGGTTGAGTGGGGACTGTCTATATCATTGTCTCTGCTCCTGCACATTATGATTGGGGTAATCACAGCAGAGCTTCAATTTACGAAGTCGCATGTTATCTGTGCTCTGCACCACCAATACTGCCTCCTGCAGTCCTGCACATTATCTCTCACTTTTAAGACCATTCAATTCTGAATGGATGTTCCCTGACCTACATCTTCTCTAACGCCTATTTAATTTGCATATGTGTAGGCTACTGTATATCTCCCGCTGGCAAGGATTAATTTCAAAGACCTAGTTCAATAAGCCAGTAAAAAAAAGTGAAATGGATGTTAAGAGGAAAAAAACGCAACATCTGTGGAAGCCGAACGCAAGAAGATTTTCTCATTACTGGCTTTAATGTGAAGCACTGTAGTAAATAACTACCGAATTAACATAGAAATGCCTTCTTATGCTCAGTGGAATGGAAATTCACATTGGAATGTAATGTGTTATGCAACAAATACAACAGTTCTTCCTTAACATGTATGAATTTGTCTCTACTATAGATCCATGTTGTATATTTTGTTCGCTTTTGTGTTTACATTCTCAAAATGTTTTTAACAATGTTCAAACCCAGAGAAATCTCCCAACTTTATTCAGAGTAACAGGACATTTCATTTTGGTGCTAAGATTACAGTGGGCAAATAGACACAATCACAGTGGTGAGGAAATTAAAAACCCGTGGAGCTTCAGTTAGACCAACAAGGTTAATATCATCAGAGCTGAATTAATATAAATCAGTATAAGTCAGTTCCACACCTACTGTTGGTGACTTGGGCAGAGGATATTTACTTTTATGGAAATTGATTTGACAACTTATTTGTTCCATTTGAGTTCTTCTGTGTTGGTTCCATCGGTCAAAAAACCAAACTACAACAGCCTTCATATTCATGTATTTGAATTTCCCTATGGGGATTAATACGGTATTTCTGGTTCTGATATTCAATATATCGATGATGCTGTTGATTTGTCAAAATGGAATTCTATAAATAGGAGACCTCCAGTATTAAGAAGCAAAATCAACAATATTTGGCAGCCTACCACACATCATGCCCTGACAAAAGCTAAATGGTTGACCCTGTGTTCCTGGCTGCTGTCTCTGCAATGCACCACAATCTTTGTAAATGCATCATTCAATTTCAAAGTATAGTAGTAGTTTTCTATTACAATTCAATTCCAGACACTTGATTCCTGCATTTTCTGGTGCCAGAAACATACAACCAATCTTTTTTTTTGTTCCAAGGTTTTTTTTATCATATTGACCCTTTTATTGATCATAACCAGACCAATAATTTAACATGGATGTTTTAACAGATTTTCCCCTTTTGATTAACAGCAGCCTTTTCAGTAGGTGGAGTACATTAGCAGGTGTCTGGCTCGGGCACAGCTATAAATCCAGATTTGCCACTATCAGTGGCCCCCGGGGCCTGTACACACCACCTAGCCCTTTGAAAGTGCATTAACATTGATTATATGAAAAAGGACACGGTTCACCTTTTGAGTATGATTGTAGGAGTCACTATGTGTTTAATGAAAACCCTGAAGGGAAGAAATGGGTGTAGAGATTGTGCTTGAGGTTTAAAAGTGTAGTGTTTTAATAACAAACATTTTCATGGTTTCATTAAATCCGCCAAGGAGGTTACGTTTTCACCCCGTCCGTTTGGTTTGATTCAGTTTTGGTGCCGATCCAAATCAGGGGACGTAGTCAGGACTTTTTCCCCTCTTTCTTCAACCTTGCAAGATAGGGCATTTTGCTTGATATCTCAGAAAGTAGTTCATGGATCTTAATGACATTTTTTTTTTTGTAAATTTGTTGTGTGTTGTGTTTAGGGGTGTTATGAGTGTGTGCAATTTGCTGCCAATTCAAATAAAAATCAGGATCCAGAATATTTTTAATGTGGTTTAATAAAGGGATTGTTGGGCCTCTGCTGAATACCATCTGTTGTTTGGTTTGTATATTTTGTTAATTTGTGAACTAATGCAAAAAACTACTAGGTCAGGGCAGAACCCATCAGGATTTTTTTTCATTTTCTATAACACAGTAAGAAAGGGCATGTTTTTTTGTGTTTTTTTTTTTACCTATTTCCCAGAAAATAATTCATTGATCTTAATGAGAAAAATCAGGCATGTTTAGGGGACTGATATCTATGAGCGTGTGCAACTTTGGTGCAGCTTGATTGAATTTAAAGGAACTGTTGGGCCTTGGTGGACTGCTGACTGCCCTTCTAGTTTAAAGATGTTCAGTGAGCTGTTATAGTAGTACACTGTTGTTCTATAAGATAATACAGTCAATTCTATGACATTAAATGCAGCATCTCCTATATCCAAGGTCTTTGCTTTTCCATATTTCCTCAGCACCACTCACCTCCCTTCTTCTACTCTCTGTTGATATCTCCTCCACCCAGCTGGCCTCCCCGGAGGCAGGCGGTATCCTTATGATGCACCACACTTGGCATATATATCCTCTGGTTATCGAGCAGAAAGCAAAGCAGGCTCTTCACATGATTGATGAGCAAATGGGATTTTAATTCAGTTACTCAGCCGTCACCCTGTGGCCATATCTGCATGTCAGCCTTATTTGGGAACAAGGAGGGACGGGAAGACAATTTGTCACTGAGCTCAGCTGGCAGTTTTGTGGGAGTGATGATCTTTCACATTGCTTGCTTTTCACATAGATACAGATTTTTCTTAACTACTTTTCAAGGCTTTTTTTTTTAAACATTTTTTAAAAAATATTATTCACTCACTGAATTGTAACAGGGATATTGGGTGTAACATGGTAGATTTTACCATTGTTTTAAAGCCCATACTCTGACAATATTATTCAACTAGCTCAAATATGCCTCCTGAGGTTTCCTTCATTGCAAATCTTTTGTTGCGTGCTCTGCTTGCATTTTGTTACAATGGATATGTACACAGAGGTATCTGGATATTTATGGATTGCAGAGATGGTGATCTATTGAAGGAATATAATTTTTATAACACTTTAATTCTGTTTGACCACATGCCTTTAGCTGTCTCTGCTAGCTGTGATTTGGAATGTAACCTACAGGTTCAATGTTCTTTACCAGAAATGGCTCCAGAGACGACCCCCCATCAAAGCACCGTGATCACTCTTACTATGCTACACAATCCTCAGAATACCAAATACTGAAATACTGCTGCGCCCTAGTGTGTACCAAGAAACATGCATTTTGATCATATTGCTCCCACACCTGCACTTTGGTTCAACTAATTACAAAAATCAAAGCCATATCTATGCGCTCAGATAGCTTTGGTTCAATCTTCTCAGGTTTTGAGATATCGCTCTTTGACATTTCTGCCAGCGGCCCCATACAGAGGCAAATATAATTTAGTTTGCAAAGAAGAAATTACATGCAGCATGTATTGCCAGAAAAATAAGCCTCCCTGCTAATCTGTAAAATACACAGTGCACACTACCAACTGTTGTTTTTCATTGGGGCTACTTTCTACCATAGAAATTGTCCCCATTAAAAGTTGTGTTGTGGCCTATTACAATGAACACTAAGTGTCTCATCTGTCATCCTCCCTTCTAAATATACAGTGTTTTGTTATCTTAATTTTCCATTGCACCTTTTGTTTCTTAAACTGAATTTAGCTGTGACACTGCCTCTGCTTATCAATTCATTTGAAAAGTGATGCATTATAATAACTGATGGGAGCATTAAAAACAAGCTAAAATAGACATTTTCTCTCAAAATACTCTGGATTTTTTGGAACAGACAGGTTAAGTGTAGTCTGTAATATTAATTGGCCAATTTTTTTGGTTTTAGCTCCCCACATTTTCTGAAACTGGAGATTCATTTTAATCTTCTGCCTCTTTCCTTTATCTCAGTGTGCGACGTTTTCGGCTGGGTCTTATTACTTTAGTGCATGAATAAAATTAGGCTTTTACTCTGCATAAAGCATTACAACATATCCTTGCACTGAAGACACAGAAACATTCAGCAGCTTTTTAAAAATGGTTGATGAAGGAGTTGTTTTTACTTTAAAGGGTAAAAGAGAAAAATAAATTGCTGCTGTTTCATGCTTTTGTTAACTCCTATGTTTTATGGTTTTGTTGTAGGCTACAGCGGACTTCATAGTCATTTTAAAACCTGTACTCTTCGGTGGTTTTGGACTCTATTGTATAGTCCACCCATAAACAAATGTTATAGCTGAAACTTCAATCTATTTCTTTTTTAGGGTAAGATGGTGAAGGGAATGGGAGGAGCCATGGATTTGGTGGCTAGCGCCGGAACCAAGGTGGTGGTCACCATGGAGCACTCAGCTAAGGTGTGTATTTGTGTGCACGCCTCTCCACCATGGCTATTCTAACCAATATTGCTAATTACCACAAAACACTTATCTCAGAAATCTAGCAATTGCCAGTTTCCTTTTCCTGTGTTAATACCGTCACCAGCTTACTCTGTATCTACTTCCACCATAATGACTGAGTGTTATGACTGATTAAAGATAATTCTGTTAATGGATTTCTTAATGCCTCTTCGCCAGAGAGCATTGGCTCATCCTGATGAGATTCCGAACATACACAATCTCCTGTTATTTCGCCGTTGGCTAATTCAAGTCTACAATTGGACTCTCGGTTTCAGGAACACATCTCATTAGTTATACTGGTGCTGCAGGGCGTCTGACAAAAGCTGTGGGGAAATCCAGCTGAATTGGTTTACTTAGAGAAAGTCCAGTCTAATATGATGCAAGGGCAACGTAACATTCTGCATGCACAGAAACATGCAGTTTTTTGGTAATGGGAGCCTATCTGGCACCCATTTATAGTCCAGATGGTGCAGCAGGTGAGCATAAATTTCCTCCCCTGAAGCTTGTGTTCATTCATGATGGAGAAGCTGGGGGTGGTGGTTGATGTATGATGTGTGCTTTTCAGGCAGCGTTTGAGGCATTTGGATGTGTGCTTTCTTTCCCGACTGGCAAGGAAACTGAGATATACACTTAATGGAATATATGGTGTATTTACCCCATGGGGTTAGGCTCAGAGTACATAACCATCTGCATCCCTGAATACATTAAAGTTTAAGCTGCATCACTGAAAGTATAAACACACTGGTATTTTGTGTCTGACAAGCTGAACTGAATAAATGACCGGTACTTAAAATGTTCTTTTTACCAGCTGCTCTTTTCTTTCAGGGAGGAAAACACAAGATATTGGACACGTGTAGCCTTCCATTGACAGGGAAACAGTGTGTGGATCGTATCATCACAGAGAAGGTGCAGTCTGATTATTTTACCTGTTTATTTTTACCATGCTTTATATATGCAAACATTGTCTTCGCCATCCTAAATCTAAATAAAAGGGGATGGATGGATACATGCATGAATGGATGGATGAGCCATTAGTCATACATTTGGGCTGGCTGCTTAATTATGGTGACATTGAGGAAGCTCTGGCCACTGACCGAGGCTCTTGGCCTGTAAAAGAACTGGACGTGCTTTTTACAGGTGATTATTTAACATTATTTTCATCTGCTACAGATTTCAAATGGATATCTGTGACTAATATTAAGCTAATTTCAGCCAATTACAAACAGCATTGTTTGTAGCAAGAACCAAAGAAGAATAAATTGTAGACTTGAGTGTTATAGATATAATAGTCCTATACATAGATACAGTAGTCAGCAGTATATAAGGTTCCCTGATTGTATTTTATCAATGCAATAATTGAAAGTACATTTGGTAAATGTAATGCAGCGCTTAGTTATAGAAATATTTTCTCATATTCCTCGTCATTTCTAAATAATCTGATAGATCGATCTGACTTTTTGCTTTTTAAAAATGTTTTTGTCATGGGTTTTACTGTTTCCCACCTTGCAGTCAGCGAATTGACTGAGGAAAAACATTTAATAAGTTAACATTGGCAGTCAGTGGGTTGCAGTCCTATTATATCACAGTCATTTCCCTGAATATTAAAACAAAAAGAGACAGTGAGCCTGGTGAAACACGAGTCACACACATTGCATCTTTATCTTTCAATGACATCTCCCACACACACACACACACACACACACACACACACACACACACACACACAAGCCACTGATGGAATGGTATGATGCAACAGAGTGACACTGGTAGATGGAAATTACACTTATTCAATCAGCATTATTTAATCAGTTGATTTCTGTTGATTTTCGTATTTCTTCTAATTATAAATTTCTTATTATCAATCTTATTATTATTATTATTATTATTATTACTGCAGTGCCCGCTCTAAACATGCTTGTGTGGAATGCTGTTAAAGTGACCTGCAGCTGTGGCAAGTAAAGAGGGGCTGCAGGTCCTCACCTAAAGCTGTGTCACCGCTGCTGCACAAAGAGCTGCTAGCTTGGTCATTCAAATTTCAGTGAAGTTAGAGGCGAAACTGGAGAATCAGTTGTCTTGCTGTTGTCATAACCCGTTGTTGCCGTGAACGCACTTTAGTCGTGATTGACAACTTTACTTATGTTGATTAGTCCCAGCTGCTGCTGCTTCAGAGCGCTGGTCGCCTGTTTATTCAAGGTTTATTAATATTGAATGAATCATGTGATAGAGTTCTGGATTAAACATTTTCTGGCTGGAAGTACTTCAGCTGTGGTGTTTGCAGAGGCAAACACTCGGTGATTTTATGTGGATTAGTGATTTCTGGCTGTATGAATAATATTGACTAGACTTGATGTGGGTGTGCGTGGAGTTTGGAGAGGCCATGGAGAATGATTTTTAGTTGGCTTCAAGACGTTCTGGCAAACTGTCAGATAAATCGAGAAGGAGAGAGCGAAGGAGCGAGAGGAAGAAAAATTATGGGACTCCTGAACCCAACTGACACATCCTCTGTGGAGGAGGTGGAAGATTCAGGGAAAGTGGAGCTTTGCTCATCTATGTGGTGGAAGTTGTTGAGGTAGTTTAAAAAGCACAGTGGCAGGAATGGAAGAGATTCAACCTGAGGCTCCTGGTATTGCTTGGCATGCTTGCAAGTTGGGGACAATGGACTGACAGGTAGGGGAGTTCATTCACATTTTTTAAATTTAAATTGGACCTTTGGGTTTACTGCGGGGAGCGACAGCTTAGCCTGTAGGAGATGCTGCATCTTCTTCATTTTTGCGTGAAAAGCCCTCTACAGTCAGTCCAGAATGCTGAAACTCGGCTTCTGACACAATCCCAAAAAATGTAACCACATCACCCCTGTGTTAGGCACTGGCTGCGTTTTAAACATTTTTTGGATTGGTTTAAAAAAAAAAAAAGAACAATTTAAACCCAGACATGGGTTGGCCCCTCCCTATATTTTAGAGCTTTTATCTCCCTACATCCACTAGTAAAGCGTTGCTAGCCATTCCAAAGTCAAGGTTGAAAACCAAAGGCGATAGAGCCTTTGACATTAGGGCCACTATATTTGAAACAATCTGCCAAAAGAGGTTAGACCAGCAGAATGGGTCACCTATTTTATCTCTCTTCTTAAGACACATCTTTATTAAAAAAACAGCTTTTATGGTATGATGTCTATGATCTTTGTTATTATTATTATTTCTTAACTCTGATTGTTTATCGTGAAGCACTTTGTTACTTGTATTGAAAAGTGCTAATAAAATTATTATTACTATCATTATGTTTACATTTCAGCACATATGGTGAAGGGGAAACTAAAAGAGTTTTGGATGATCATGAATCATGCACATTCCTCTGAGATGGTAATTCCAGCTAAATGGAGTTTGAGTGACAAACGTTACAGGTAGAATTTATCCTGTCTGGAAAGGGCTTGAGATAGTCTAAGGGTGACATTTTCTGATAAAGGGGAAACAAGCAGAAGTTACAAAACATACAAGGAGGATTTTTTATGTGAAGATGGAAGGTAGAGAGCCGCTGGAGGAAATAGAAAAATGCACCTCTGATTGGAAAAGAAAAGCTTGTGGTTACAGGTGAAAAAGAAATAAAAAAGCAAGGTTCTGGTTGCTAGCTGATCTCAGTGGTGACATAGTGTTTATGTCCTTATGTACTCTGGGCAGTTCCATGCTACTCTGTGATGGTTATTGCCTTTGGAACTCGCTCATTGAAAACATGACCTATCAGGGGCAAAGTGAGACAGCGTGTCCACCCATCCACCACCCCCGTCTGTTCTTTTCTGCTCGGCTTATGTTGTGATTGCGCAACATTTCTCAGCAAGCAGATTTCTGTCAACATTTATAAAGGTTAAAGCTCTTTCTAATACCCCTCTAACACTGGTACCAACACCCCCTCCTCTTCCCCACATTCTCATTTCATCTCCTGCTGCTTCCCCTCCCTCTCTATTCATTAATACTATTTTCTTATTACATCCCCAGCTTTTTTAATTATCTTGAATTCTATATTATGAGCTCTTTCCTCAGTTCCTTCCATTTGTATCAGCAGATATTTCCTTACTTAACTGCTTACCTCCACATCCCTACTTTATTCTTTTGATACCCTCTCTGTTGTGCTGTCAATACATTTGAAAATACCCTAAATGAAAACCTTGTAAAAACTCTCTTCCTTGACAGCGTTCGTCTCTCTTTGTAGTTTGGAAAGGTGAAACTGAGCTTTTCAAAAATACTGACACGTAAATGTCAGCCTGTCAGCCTCCCAGATATTTTCCACAGGACTTTAATTCGTCCCCAATGTTTAGAAACCAACTTTTTGTCACCTCAAGCTATAGCAGTGAGGGCTTGTATTGAAAACCAATATACTCAACTGCACAATAAACAGGTTATTAAAATGTTTCTTTTGTCAAATAGCACTTTTATAAAATAGAGGGTGTCAGTACAGTAGATTATGAATTACTGTTAACTTGCTTAGCTTGTTGTTTCAGTCAGATTATAGTTGTGACAGGGGCAGATTCAGTGGCGAGGCCAGGGGGGACACTGGCCCCAGATGAAATCCTATTAGCCCCTGAAATACCCTTGTTCTGTCATTAGTCAGAGGACAAAAAAAACTTACCTGTCAAGATTTTTAGAATGTTTTGAGCTTTTTAGAAGTATATGAAAAATGATCAATTATGTGTGGCTTTGATTAAACCTATAGAGCTACCAGTAAACAAGGAATGACTTAAATGTGCACCCAACTGAATCAGGAATTATGTCTGGACATTGGACATATCATTGTCCCCCCTGTGTAAAAATGTCACCCCTTAATGGCCCACGGTTTAGAAAAAATATAGCTCCTCCACTGGATTCTTACACAGAAATGGAGAGCTTGATCAATGACAACACCCTTATTGCATATTTGGCTTAACCCTTTGTCTATACGCCTCTTGTCCTTTGAGGGTTGCGGAGGGGCTGGAGCCAGTCCCAGCTGACATTGGTGCGAGATGTGTGATACATCCTTGAAAAGCTGCCACTCCATCACAGGGCTGAAATATAGAGAAAAACAACCCACACTCAAATTCACACCTTTGGGCAATTTAGAGCTTAATTAACCTAAGCTGCATGTCTTTCGACTGTGGGAGGACGCAGGAGTACCCAGAGAAAACCTACGCAGACATGGGAAGAATCAGAGACAAAATAAGAATCAAGGATCAGGGAATCATGCAACATCAAGCAAAGTGTGGTTTTACAAAACTGTGTCCATTCATTCCACAATTTTTCTGTGAGACATATGCAGCAAACATTAAGAGATCAGAAAATGCTTTGATAAAATAAGTCTGGGTTTTTTGACACCACATCAGTGAGGTCAGACTGGACATGTAAACAACTTAGAAAATCCATGTTCGCTCAGCCGTCCTAAATTCCTCCTTCACTGACATCGTCTCTTCTACACTGTACCTGAATCTGAATGAAGTTTGCCATTCCAAAAACTAGGACATGTAGTAGGACAGCCAAAACATTGTATTTGGTATTTCTAGCTATAATACTCAAATATACTTAATTAGCTTCCCTCATTTTGGAAACCTTAGTGTTTTTTTTAAACGGCATGCTCAGTGTTGGTCGACAGGGATGGATGTAAAAGACGACAAAAACAGCTCTGACAGTGGTGCAGGCACAACATTTATATTTCACATAATTTTCATCAGCAATCCTCCTCTTTGAGTTATTCAAATTTATTGCAACAATAAACTTTACCTGCGAATAATAATGGGTTTGGTTTACCGGGCACAGTGTTGATCAGAGATTTCACAATTTACAAAAATGGTTCATTGTCATCATCCACAGGGACGGCCACTGTTGTTACCATTGTTTGTTTTGTGTGTGACTCCCTTTATGCTGTTTGCACAAGCAAGCATATGCAGCAGAATCCACATCCAAATTTGGGTATTTACATGCGAATGGGCTTGATTTTTACTCTTGTGTATATAATAGACTTGCTTCACAAATTACTGGGTACACTATGTTGTTGATATATAAAGCAAGCTGACACATTAACTAAAAGCAAGACAGGGCTTGTAAAATTGCTTTCAAACTAAACAAAATAAATAAGCACAAAATGAGTCAGGTTAATGACAGGAAATAATTTCACGTTTCCATTTAATTTTCGATGTAATACAATGTGCCTGTGACAGGTTATTGGATTCCTTGAGGCATAATTTAAATAGCAATATAACCACAGTCTGCACAATCTGTCTTCATAACAACAATGAGGAGAAAACCAAGTCATCTGCGATTGTCTGATCAATAAAACTGATCAATAAAAGCATCCATTTAGACGTCTATAAGGCCCCATGCTTTACTGCTATATATATGTATTCCACACTGGACATAAAACCAGTTAGGGCACAATATGTGTTGTCAAGTGTAATATTTGAAGTCAAGTGTTACCTTTTTATTCAGCAACTTAAGACTTTTGATCCTTATTAGCAAACAACACATTGTATAAAAGTAAAAAAAGAAAATGATTGTGGTGAACACCAGAGGGAACTTTTGAAATTGAAGATTAGACACTAGGAACGGTGCACTATAAAAGCCTGATAATGTTTCTATTCTCCGTGGGTTGCTATCTTTCCCATTAGAATCTTTGCTCCAGTTTGTTTGCAAAATGAGAGCTGAAACCAAATATTTTTCCTACTATGCTCGCAATAGCCAGGAGGGATGACAATTCCAAGTGTTGTCCTAAATCATAGTGCAATGATTTGAGAATGAGGGTTGCGGGGAACCTGTTCCCTCAGGGGGTATTTCTCTTCGTTCTTTTTGTGCAGGAGCATTTTATAACATCATAATTTCTCCTCTCTTAACCACAGTTCCACACAGTATGTGGTATTTCTCACATTGTCCTCAGGGGGACATAAAAACGTGTGTGTTCGTGTGCTTTATGTTAACCACTACAAGTGAATCACCTCACTTCTATGCCTCCTGGTGCTGAAGTTGCTGCCCTGACAAAAGTCTACACATTCAGCTGCATACTATTTTTCTCCTCAACGGTTGTTTAGATAATTATTTCCTGTTTCAAATATAAGAAAGTAAAAAAAATTAAATAAATAATTGCCCATGTCATTCACAGTTGAAGTAAAAGGACCTCTGAATAATTCTGTTATCATAATGGGCCCAGAAAACTGTTACCTGTTGCATTTTCTGTAATGAAGGCAATGTCAGTAACAGCACTTGTTATTCCTGGATTCAAATTGTTTTTTTTATGTTCCCTCATCTAAAAATTGAGCCCTTTTCATTTGCCGTAATTCATTGAAATTGTATTGTATACGTTTATTTGTTGGAGGGTAAAATGTTCATTTCTAGTTATGTTTTTCTAGAGTGTTAAGATGGCAGAATGTTGTTGGTGTATTGTTGTACAATGAGATTCAGCCCACTCCTCACCAAACCACATGTGAACGACACTGGCAGCTTCTTAACAACAAAGCTCATTTGAATCTGGATAATAGTGGTGACTTTGAATATTGTGAGAGAAATTGAATCAGCAGTTTCACAACAAAAAGGCTGCTTTGCAGAAAGATGGCTTAAGTGTAAGTGTTAGAAACTAGTTCCATTGATAGTTCATTGCTTTAAAATGTTCCCACCCAGACCAAACTGAGACGCTGATATTAACTCAAGACCTGCCGTATCTGTACACTGTCGCCGCATCTATATTCAACACCACTGGGACGTTTTGACAAATCATTCGATTTCTCTTAATCGCTAGTGAAGTGTGTCACAATTAGAGACTCATGTCTGTGTTATCCATAGACCCTTGTGTCTTGTGATATTCCATCTGTCTCGCTATATTGGAGTGAGATATCTGCCTCCTGCCCTGTCACTGTGTGTGAGGTCCTAATGAGCTGAGAGTCCTGACAGGCTTTGCCGGGATGTGATGGTGGCCTGGCCTGTCAGTCCCTGCTGAGAAGAGCCACAGCTCGGCTCAGAGTGCCTGGTCTGTCTGTAAAACCTATTTTTTGCATATAAATGTGCGTAATGGCATTTCTTCAAGTTCAGTTTAAAGGGTTATTATGAAAAATGGACAGTATGGGGCTGCTCCTACCTATTTGTTACATCAGACCTGTGTTTAGAAACAGCAGTCTTGAAATAATTGGTTTTAATAAAGTAAACTTTCTAGAATTGTCTTCTAAAAGACTGTTTCTAAAATAAGTTTAAAATGCACAAACAAAAAACTTAAAGTTCTGCTTCCTGCCCTCTGCCGTCTCTAGTATGTTATCTTTTCCAGTAAAAGCAACCAGTAGTAAGAAACATCTGCCACAACATTTCAGAAAACAGACTCGATCTTTGCAAAACTTTTCAGAAGTTGTCGTACTCTCTGTGTAAATGACAGGTTTGACACAATTCTCCATGGTAATTTAAATAAAAGATCCACCTTCTCTCTTTTACTGAATCAATGCCTTGATGGTATACAAGTGTGACTGTTAGGCATGTTGAAAGCTCCAGGGGCCTCATTTCTGAATCACTGTGTGTAATCTCATCTATAAAATAGAAGTCCGATTTGGACATTTTGTGCTTGCATATATTTGAGATAAAGAACGGCTTGTGATAATTATCATGTGCGAATCCCTGGTCGGATAGAAGTGTAATGGAGACTAAAGAGATTGCCAAAGTAACCTTTTTATGTTAACATGGTTATTATGTATGCACTATGTCAAGTCAATGCATGTCCACTCTAGCAGCCATAGAATGGCTCTTGAGTCTTTGAGTTACCTGTTTTGACTCTGTAAGCTTAGTTCTGTATTGACCCTTAAGCTTCTCTTATCTAATGGCACAAAGAAAAACCTTCTCTAAATCTGTTAATCTAATATTTGTATAAAGGTTAATTCCCTCCAATAACCTTCAATACATAAAGAGGTGCAGGCTACTTCCAATTCCTGGTTGCACTCCCTGAGGCTGTTCATCTCTTTTAGCTCCTTTGATAACCAAGGCTCCCACTTCCTCATCTGTGACACTGTCGACCACACACACATCATAGGATTTAAAGCTGTATATTGAGGAAATAATCCCTCCCACTATTTTGTGTTTGTATCTTGTCATCCCTGTTCTCATCCTTTTTATCTATTCTCTCCCTCCGTCCTTTTCTGCCCTCTCTCTTTCTACCAGGCTGTGTTTGATGTGGATAAGACAAAAGGCCTGATTCTAATAGAAGTATGGGAGGGGCTCACTCCAGAGGATATCAAGGCATGCACTGGCACCGATTTTGAGGTGAGTAACTCAACCGTTCTACTACCAGGATCATATTTCAGTGTCTTAACTTCGAGGATACTAACCAGGATGCGTTTCTTGGTGTTTTCTAGGTGTCCCCCAGTCTGAGTGCCATGCAGCAAATCTAGAGGAGGATCTGAGATGTATTTTTGATTTGTGTAATTTAATTTTTCTGGCTAAACGGTTAAAGATTTGCATGTGATGGGTCAAATAAGCTCATAAACCGAAACTTTATAGGAACCAAAATGAATGATTCTTTTTTGCAATCAGGTGTAAAATAATTGATTAGGGATCATTACATGGTTGCCTATTACACCATCGAGTTATTAAGTTATTCTTATGTTTTACCGATGAACAAAATCATGCAATAAATAAAAACTAAGATGGATCATATTTGCTGTAGGATTAAGACATTGCTATAAAAAGACACAGAGCTGAAATGTAATGTATAGAAAAAAGCAGTAATTCAAGAGTTTTCTCATCTAGAAGAAGGGAGTGTGTAGTTGTACCATGTGAAAAAAAAATTATGCAGCTAATGTAAGATATCTATTCATTTGAGAAATGCAGTATATGAAGGAATGATAATCGCCTTTTCCACAGCAATATGAGCAATGTCTATCTGTCATTTTTTCCCCCCTCACTCTCAGTTGGTCGTGGATGTTGAGTTGCTCGGCACGTCAACCAGAAAACAGAAAACCTCAAGATTTTTCACTCAGACTTTTGCCGTCCCCCTGCCTTTGTGTAAAATAAATGGGAATATTTGCAGAGTGGAACCAGTAGGATTGTATTCTTTTGTCTGAATCTTTAAACCAATAACTGTTGGCTTTTATTCAGCGCATCAAGCCAATGATTTGAGATTGATGGCTTCTGACACTCTACAGGTTAAAGCGCTCTATATATGGATGGTGCGCTTAAATTGACATTCATGATGCGATTTCTCCACTCATGTAAATAGGCGCTGCCATTACCTGAGGGCTGTTATGTAACTGGAGAAATTCAGCCAGTGGGCTTTTGGGTTCAAGAAGATCAACCGGGTTGGATCATCAAGCAGAAAAATGTAGGAAAGTGACAGGGGCTGTTGCCACTGGCTGTTGATGTTAATTCAGCACAGCCCTTAATGGATCAAACCAGAGTGCTTCCCTGTAAGCCCTAAACAATTTACAACCTATTTCCTCATCAAGGTCCTGGAATGCACAGCAATAGAAAGGAACGTGACAGGCTGTAACAGGAACAAAAAGATTTTAACAGAAGCAGTACACACATTTTTCAGCTGTTGCAAAGGACAATGTGACATTCACAGGCATAGATTTTCAGGGACAGTAAGAGGATTCAGCACAGTAAGGTAAAGCAGTCAGATGAGGCACCACCACACCGAGAGGCATGAACTGATTCTCGCTGTGCACATTGGCTATTTTGGACACTCTGCTGCCAACTGTCGTCAATCATGATCACCAACAGGATTGTTCAACCTTGGCAAATTAGAACATTTTCGGCATCAGTCAATTAATAATCTGACGTGTTTCCAGGGTAAATTCCATCAAACTGTTATCTGTACCGCTCTTCCTTAGGAGGATCGCAGGGGGAGCTGGAGTCAGTACCCTACCCAGAGGCAGGGTACACCCTACACATAATGCCAGTGTACCACAGGGCCAACTTAAAAAGATAATCAACCATTCACTTCTACGGAAAATTAAGCCTCCATTTTACCTAACCCTCATGTGCATGTCTTTGGACTGTGGGAGAAAGTACTGGGGAGAACATGCAAACTCCACACAGAAAGAACAAACTAGGATTTGAACCAGAACCATCTTGCTGTGAGGTAACACAACTAAACACTGCACAGTGTTGCCTGTGTTGATTTCAGAAAACCTCAAAATTAAATTGAAATGTATGTATCAAATAAGATTTTCACTATGTTGTATACAAAAAACAGAATAGAAAACCCAATATTGCAGTGACATTCATGTCCATGATGAGGCCTTCTGTGTAAAATATTCCTATCACAACTGTAATAATTGAGCAAGGACTCCACAGTCCACAGAGCTGGGGAGTCCGTAGTGGCACTGTTGTGGTCGACAACATAATCAAATTTGACACTGCACTACCTTGGGCCATTAAAAATACACTTGCTAATTGTAAGGCTGCTAAGATGAGTGGTTCTCGAGATATGCGATTTTAGAATTACAGTGATCAGAAGATTAGTAGATTGATTTTAAAAGTTTGTCTGATTCCTATTGTTAGTTTTAGAATTAGCAGTTAATGATGCAAGCAGGTCTGCTCTGAATCTTTTATGTGACACAATTCTGGCTGCAGTTTTGCAAATTACACTCCATATAATTTATGGATGTTGCATCTAACGTGGAACAAGCATAATCGATGATGATTGTATGCAGTGTGGTTATGTCATTATTGATTTTGTTTGTCCAGCGGCTCAATGGAATCAACCCTCCCTCACATGAAACATGACTGCAGAGACACACCCAAGAGGAAATGCATCTTCATCAGAGTAGCACTCATCTGGGATGCAACTTTAAATGTCTTTTCCTCTGAGGGGAGAGATGCAGCTTTTTCAATATTATTCATCTTTACACCTTTGTGACCTAGTTTGTGAATGACCCATGTTAAAGCCACGTAGCTGATTAGCACTACAGTGAATTTGTCAGTTATTCATCATCACTGTCAGGATGAATCACTGCCATGATGCTTTCAGTCAGTAATGCTCCAAGATCATCTAGGAATTAACCTCAATCTCATTTGGATTTATATTTTCCAGTTTAGGTAAATCAAACGTTCCTTCGTTACAGTGTCATTGGTGCAGATTGTTGGAAATCCAACCACTAACTGTTGTCATGTGTGGATCCGTCCAACCTCATTTTCATAATTGTGCATTGCGCGCTGATGTGCACTGCTCAGGGGGGTGTGGACCACAGCGCACAGTCTCACTGGTGCGCGCGCGTGTGAGTGAGAGAAAGAGAGAGAGAGAGCGAGAGCGCGCCCACTCCAGTTTGGCACAGGCACCGGGTCTGGAAGAGAGGAGGCAGGAGCGCGTTGTGCACGGCGGCAGCATGGCTTCGTCTCACGGGAGATGCGACCAACGGTTCGCAGACTGGATGGCAAGTTTACCGCAGAGCATGCACACGATCCCGCTCACCAACCTGGCGATTCCCGGTAGGTGAAACTCCACGTTGCCCCCTGGTGCGAGGAGCACGATCATGATGTCCATGTCTTCACCTTCGCGCATTGTACGCATCCTAATAGACGAGGACTGAATAAACTATATTTAACGCTTTGCAAAGTGTGATGTTGGACTTTTGCCTCCAGTGCAACTCATATAAGCTAAAAAGATCCTCCGTAACTTTCATTGGACCCGGTCAGACAAAGGCTAAGACCTGTTGCGCATCGTGAGAAGTACCGTGTGTTTTGAACAGGCGGTCGAAAGGTTATGAACCTGGATGCTTCACAACCAAATAGTCCTAAAGATGAGATAACCTTAGTCAATAAGAGTTGGGGTCACTGACTCATTGGCAATATGGCCACGATGAAGCATGCTGAGCTGCTCAGTGCCGAACTTTTGGTTCTGGGGTGGCGGCCATTGAGGAGCAGAATTGGGAGTGGGATGGTTTTAGTCTTTATGTTTAAATCAACCCATAGAAAATGAGCTGGTGGACGTTGAGCCAATCAGTGCGAAGGACCTCCTTGAACTCCATTCAATTAAGAAAGGTTGTAAAGCTCACCACTGATGGACTAGCTTATTAAAAGCCAGTTAATTCCATATCTGCTGCTAGGTGATTATCACACCTCCATACACCCTCTCTCTCTCTCTCTCTCTCTCTCTCTCTCTCTCTCTCTCCCTCTCTCCCTCCCTCTCTCCCTCCCTCCCTCTCCCTCTCTCTCTCTCTGATACCTGATGTGTTAAGGTTCGACATGTGCACCCATGACATTTCTCATGCAGATGGCTTGCTGCTGCATGTCCGGTGAGGTGTGGCATAATACCAGCTCTGACCACACCTCTGAAGGATGCTAAGGCATGCAGTTCATCATAGATTAAAATCAAAGACTGAAAGACAGTCACGGCATGAGGTAACACATGCCATGTATTACCTCATGCTTGTCGCAGAATAATGTGACATGCTGTGCTGCACCACAGTTCACCAGTGCCAAGGCTCATGGGAACATGCTCTATCCCATTTAATTAGGTGTCATTACTTACTATTGGCCCTAAGGCCAGCAGCTCAGCTGCTCTTAATCTGTCCTCCGACTGGATACAGATTCTGTAAACATCCTCTGATTCTTCGTATTCTCTCGTGCAGGTGTGCTCACATTTGGTGTAATGTTTTTCAGGGTAAATTCCTTAATCCACAGGATTTTCTGAGAGTTTATTTAGCAACCACGTGCTCTTACTGGGGCGTATGTCTGATTTATTTCAAAAGTCTGTCTTGCATCCTTTTCATCTCATCTTAAAACACAGTATCTCAAGCCTTTGTTCAAGCAGGAATGAAACTGGGGCAGACAAGAAACAAAAAGATGATTGTTTCATTCCCTCCTCTTAAATTGGAGTATTACACTATTAAGAAGAGGAAATACTTCACCAGCTGGCCTTAATGATCGGCTGTTTGGAGTCGCTTGTTGTGATGGTACGACACCCCCCTCAGTCCCCTATTGCCAAAGAGCTGAAAGGTCCAGTGTATGTGTTGCCAGCATTGCACAGCTGTACTCATAATTATACACACAATTTTCTGTGTGATTGGTTTATTTCACGGTTTTGTGGTGACAGCGAAGACTTAATTAGCATCAGATTGTTTTAATTGCATCTATTTGTTATGTTAAAAGTAGTTGGTATGAGCAAATGCATAGAATTGATTTATAGGAAAATATTGTACATGAATATACACAACACAGTGTTTGACAGATATAACAGCTACTGGATGTCAGATAATATCTACATACGTGCTGTTGACTTCAATCTACCTGGCCAGTCTCGCTGTGAAGTTTTAAAGCCACTTTATGATGATGATTGACCTTCACGTGTATTGTAAATTACCTCAGCCAGGATGATTACATCGTTAGTCCGTTTATGTGCTTGTTTTTTGTTTTTGTTTGTTTGTTTGTTTTCGGTGGGTAGTTACTTTGTGCCGCCAGTGTAGGTAATTACAAAAGATTAATTTTCAAATACAAGCTCACAAAGGTTACGGGGTTAATAGACTCAGGATATTGCCTCAGTCAATCATGTAGACTCAGGTGGTGGTGATGTAACAGCTAATCCATGCAACAGTACCTTCCACCATGCAGTATGACTGTAACCTGCAAAGAACCTTATCTACAGAGAGATAATTGAAATCAATTTCCATATTTGGAGTTTTAATTAAATATGAAGTCTAGTGAAGATATAAATAGGCCAATGCTTTCTCAAGTGTTTTACAGAGAAGTACTATATATACTTTTATCAAATTAACCACGCATGTAGGAGAAGACTCACAAGCATGAGTAATTAGCTATTTTAAATGCTCTGTCATCTTTTCTGGCCAATTACAAATGACTCGAAGTTGTTCAGAAGATCCAAGGGGGCTGGATGAGGAGAAACACACTGGTAGCTATTGAGGCAGCACCTTCAAACAAATAAAATAATCTTAAAGCCATTTATTTGGTAGCCAGTAAAAAGAGATGAGTACAGGGAGTTGGAGAGGTCAAGTCTTCTTGGAGAGGCTTACTGTTGAATTTTGGACAAGCTGCAGGCGAGACGAGGCTGACTCCTACAGACAGAGTTACAGTATTCAATAGA